TTAACTCTTTTCTAAATATCAAGCACGTGTCCCGATCTCATCGCAGCTTCCTTTCTTACTCCCCGGGTTAAACTCGCCGCGGTTCACTACACGAGCGCAGGAAAAGGCGGTCAAGATGAAGGCGGCGGATGCAGCGAGGAGGAGGAGAAAAGCTCTATCGGAGGCCGGCGGGGCTCCTCCGCCGCCCAAGCAGAGCATGAAGGTGGTCTTCAAGGACGGGAAGCTTGTGGTCAACGACGCTGATCTGGTACGATAGATGTTCCTTCCATTTCCATACAGTAGAGGTCCTGTTTAGTGCCGGGGTGTGCACCGAAATTTCACCTGCACTAAACCGGACACCGGCACTGTTCAAAGTACAGAACGACTTGGTATTCCGGTGTGTGCGAGCCGAAAACACACAGGCACTATACCTGCAACCGGTACTACTGTAATGGGACCTCTACTGCTGTACCACTTCTTTTTGACCCTTGCCGTTTTTTTTTTTTTTTTCCCACGGTGCCCGCCGGTCCCTCCTCTTTTGTGGTAGGCGCTCTAAAACGCTCAAGTAGCGAAAAGCTGTTTGTTTGTTTTTTAATCATGTCGGAGATCAGGAAAATGCGGAGGGAAAGCAAAGAAAAATTCACGGAGAAGAGGACTGAAAAGGAGCCTCACGACAATACCCTGGAGTGCATATTTTGTTGCTTCATCCCGATAGCCAATTTGTTTTTTGTCACAACAGTGCTATTGTATATACTTTGTTTATTTTTTTTCTTCACTTTTATGGGTCGTTTGATATCCTTTCTCTCCTTCTTTAGTCCTTCCTCTGTCCCATAAGTCTGTAGCGTTATGGGCAAGAAACGTTTGAGGTGGAATGCTATATGTAGCGACGATGATTATTTACTTGGGTTTGCTGCAAAATCAAAGCGCAGACGCTGCTGACGAACAAAATAAACGAAAGAGAATCATTTTTTCAATACCAAAAGGAAGTCGAATTTTCCCCGATTTGATGTATTTTTTTTAGAACTTGCGTGTGGGTGTGTTATTTTTTGTCCCTGTACTCCCGTCGAAATGGGGCAAAGTATGGCAGTTCGGGGCCGAGTGATTTTTCCGGGCATTGGTCCAGGCAGGGTAATGCGCGAAAAACTAAACAAAGAAAGGCCTTTGTCCCCCAAATAAATAAAAGACTTTAAACCCAAGAAACGCCCAAGATGTCGAAAAAATCATCGCCGAAGGCATCGGACACGGCCAAGTAAGTACTCATATAAAGATAACGCTACAGACGTACCAGCATGGATGAAGGACGTAGTTTTCTGTACCTACGTTTATTGTCGCAAGGGTTACCGTGCTAATGGTCGTTCATTTCTCTTCTTCACGGCCCCACCAACCTCCCCGATCAGATCGTGGAAGGCGCCAGCGGCATCGACGACGAGAACCGAGAAGAGGTGGACGAGGACGAGACCACAGCGGCGACGGCGAGCTCCTTCACCAACCGCGAGACCGCCATGCGGTGGAAGCCCCACGACATCATCAAGTTTTACAGGGTGAGAAAAGAAAAGAAGGGTTGTCGTCCTCTCGTCTGCCAACCCCCCCCCCCGGCATCAACGGTTTGTCACCACCACTATTCCTTCAACCCAAAAACACATGTACCGTGGTTACGCAAGATAGCACACCCCCTGGACCGATTTTCAAAGCTCAACTATTTTAGGGTATTACAAGAATCAAATGTTGTGGTTTCGGGAAGCTCTCGAGGGGACCGTTTCAACACCGCCAGTTTCGGCACCGCCAGTCCTTGTACAATGCGGAGTAATCGAACTTTTGAAAATCGGTCCAGGGGGTATCTTGTATCACAAACAGCAGTATCCGCCAAACGCTGCACAACACCCCGAAACCAGTAGGCACGAAGAGGGAGGGCTTGGATGGACTCGTGTGCGGTTCGATGACGCCACTCCCGAGAGAAACTAGTATCCCAGGGACGTATTTGCTTGGTCAAGGTTGTTTGTGGTTGCTGCACAAGGGTGAGAGAGCTTGGCTGGGGTCGTGTGCAGCAGTGTGATGCAAGGTCACGTCCGGACCGCACCTGCTGTGCGATACATGTAACGCGACAGCAGCCAGTACGACAAAACAAAAAATACTATGAACATGCCCCCCCACCCCAAACACGCACGCGTGCCTCCCATCCACCGTTGTTTTTTTGGGGGGTGCTCGGTAGAGTACTGATCTGCGGGGCCTCTGGGGGTTACGTGGATGATATTGTATGGGTATGATGGACATGGCGCCCGGGGCCCCTCTTGCCTCCCTCATGTCCGTCACAATCTCTAAGCAACAAAGGTCCTGAGGTGACCTTCTTTCTCGTTCAGCCTCGGACTGCCTACAAGCAAAGAAAGTGCTAAGGAAATACTTGTTGCAATATGTATATAGTCAAAGAGAGACTACCCGTTCGAGGTATAACCAACAGCAGTCTCACGACCAACAAAGACCAGACAGGGGGCACGCAGACCCTAACCCCAACCCTAACCCTAACCCCAACGTATCCGATTCTATACTTTATCCAGTATATTTGCTTACCAGGCACTTCGAAAACAAAATTGCGTAGGTGTATACTATAACCTCCGATGAAGATACTGCTGCACACAATCAACCGTCCCTTCTCTTTTCATGCGCGTGGCGCTCCCTACGAGCAGGGTATCCAGATGTACAACCTGTCGTTCGACCAGATGGCCAAGACGCTGTTTCGCGGGGAGCGCACCCAGAAGCAGCTCAAGAAGAAGTTCGAGAAGGAACTTCGGAACCACCCGGAAATGGTGCATCGCGCCCTCAGGACCCAGATCAACAAAGGCGAGGCGGCCGCGGGGGTGGGGGGTGGGGGGTGGGGGGCGGGGGGTTTACTCATGTTTGACATGCCTTAGCAGGTAGCCCATTGACCACTCGCATGTACTCGAGAGGACGGAGGGGGGTGAGCTTTGACGGGAACGGATGTTCCACCACGCGCCCATGTCCATATGAATGTGTAGCGCCGATACTTTGCTGTTCTCCGGGCCTAGATCACTGCACGTACGACCTCAGGGTCAAGGGAGTGGGGGGGCACTGATCAGGCATGGGTGTTGACACCCGACCGAATGGTCTCAGTCACAAGCCAAGAAGAAGAAGGTTTGGTTGTCTTCCTCTCTTTTGTTGGTTACCCCACTCAGTCTCCCACGTCTCCACCCGACCCACACACGTCCCACCGCAAAACCACAACGGAGAAGCGAGGGGAGCAAGGTTCGCGCACCAGTCAGTCGTGCGCGCCGGCACCGGAAAAAAAAAACTTTGTTCTGAACGCACGCGCTGAGTTATTCTTGTCATCCCCCCCCCCCCCCTCCTCCCTTTTTCCCGCTGTGCCCCGTTCGTCGCGTGGGAACATGAGCAGACCACCCTTACTTCTCGAAAGATCCGCCGCCGCTGCCTACCTTCGAGCCCGAACCGAAAGAAAAGGTCCGGAAGACTAGGCAGGGCGCCAAACGAAAAGCAGCAGCGGGCACAAGAGGAGCAGCAGCAGTGGGGCAGAAGGGCGGCGGCCCGCCGGCTGCCGGAAAGAAAACCTCCTCCTCCTCCTCCTCCTCGAGGAAACCCAAGGGCAAGGGTGGCCCCGGCAGCGCCGCTGCAGCCGGCGCTAGCGATGATGATGGTGATGACGAGGAGGAAGGAGGTGGGGGAGAGGGAGAGCAGCCCCCGGTGAAAAAGAGGAAGAAGCGGGCTCGCGGCACGGCGGCTGCCGCCGCCGCGAGAGAACGGCGAACGGCCGCCTCCGCCGCCGCCGCCGCCGCCGGAAAGACAGGGTCCGCCGCTGCTGAGGAGGAGGGAGGGGGGGGCGGTGGATGTGGCGCAGAGGAGGCGGGGGGGGTATCGAGGGAGAGGCGGCCGTACCGCGCGGTGCGCGACCACCCCCGCGTGGCCGCCGACGCCGCCGCTGTTCATTCCGATGACGGACGCGAGACGACGGTCACGGACGACGAGCAACAAGAGAGTGACGGAGAGGAAGGGAGCGGAAGCAGTGAGGCTGGCGGGGGCAGCGATGAGAGAAGGGGGAAGGCTGCTGTTGCCGCTGCTATGACGACGGTCGCTCGGAGCGGCGGCGGCGGCGGGGGCGGCGGCGGCGTCAAGCGGATACGCGGCGACGACGTCGCCGGCACCACCGGCGAGCGGGACGATGACGGGCCAAATCCCCCGCGCGCCGGAAAGAGACCAAGAGGTACAAGCGCGGCTGCCAACGAAGACGGCGGCGGCGGCGTTAGTGGTGGGTCAACCACGAGTAGGAGCGGCGGCTGCCGTGAGTCACGGCGAGAGGAGGAGGGTGGGGCAGACCCCGACGCGCGTGCCAACGGCGCTGCGCGGGCGGCGGGAGAGCAGCAGCGGGAAGAGGATGAAGTGGACGGCCCCAGGATGTCCGTCTCGGCACGTATGCCCGGGAGGCGGAGATAGCAAGGGGGGGGGGGGGGGGGGGGGGGGGGGGGGGGGGGGAAAAAAAAAAGGGGCCCCCCCGGGGGGGGGGGCCCCCCCTTGGGGCCAAAAAAAAATATTCCCCCGGGAAAAAAATGTTTCCGGGGCCAAAAAAAAATCCCCTCTTTTGGGTTTTTTTTTTTGGAAAGGGGTGTTTTTTTCCCCCAAAACGGTTTTTAAACCGATCGGGGGGGGGGGGAATTTGTGGACCCCCCCCCCTTTTTTTTGGGGGGGAGGGAGTTTGGGGACCCCCCCGGGGGTTTTG